GTCAGATAGGTCGATGGTCACAAAACACCCAAACACTCTATCGAACTAAAGGACTTCATGAACGCCGGAAAACACCCCTTTGAAAATTAGTGTGAAAGAAGGACTGGCAACGGAAAACATGAGGCTAAAATCGAGGCTTAGGGGGTTTCCAAGACACCGATGCCCCCTTTGGGAACACTTTCGGTTCCGGAAAGGGAAACCATATTTCGGACAATTGGAGACGGATGCGATCGGATGCATTCAGGTCTGAGGGCAGTGGGTTGTCTAAGGGCAATCTGGAAATTCGATCCGCAAGTTCGTTGGTGTGGCCGGCAATGTGGCTGACATCTAGTTCGGCATGAACAGTTGCAATCAGCATACACAATCGTTCAACGAAGAAGCATAATGGAGCCTTGGTAGTGAAAAGAAAATTGGAATTTGCCTCTGCTGCAGTGTTATCGCTTAAACTTTTCATAGTGAGAGGAAATCGTTGGCCTGGAAAAAATGGCACAAAGTGTACAGCAAGCAAAATTGAGCAAATGTCTCATATGAACTTATGTCCTTCTGCATATCAGTGTTGACGGGAACACCCAATGCCAGAAAATCGGAGGATGTCCATTGTTCGCTGAACCATTTCATGTCACCATTTTGCAAAGCGAAGGAATCCGCCCACTTGGCAATGATTGCCGTGAGCGCATGCATCAGCTGCTGCCTCTCCATTCCAAAGGGGCTTTGGGTTCATTGAAACAAATGGGATCAAATGTTGCAACCATGCTTTGTACATAGACAGGATACGTTGAGAGCTAGGGCTGATGGTACGGTTGCTGGATGTCGGATCAAGGATACGCAGCCAAATCCTTTTTTCAGATAAGCGACAATTTCGAACATCCTCAATTGATTGGACTGGTTGATGCCGCACCGATAAGAGTTGTCCACCAATAGGAATCGCTGTCCCCATGGGGCGGACATTGAAATGCAGGGTGTCTGACAAGCAGGCGATAGTGGTCAACCAGTATCCCGGATCCACCGGAAACAGGGTGGCGGGAGCTTGGTACATGTCAGCATAAAGATGGTGAATAAATGCCCGCATGACAGGAAACAACTGAGTGACCCAGAGAAGTAGTCCCACAAACTTCTCAATCTGCTTCTTGGAGGTCTTGGGTCGTTGCAAAAGTTCATCAATGAGCGACAGCAGTTTGTCACGTTTGGTCAGTTGCAGTTTGATTATGCCCGTGGAAAAATTGAGAGTCCAGCCAATCCAGTTGACTTGACGGTCCAATTCTGCTTTACGCCAGCTAATCGGCAGCCGAAACGCTTGCAAAAGCAATGTGACCAATGCTGCAGTAACTGGGAGAATATCTAAACGTTGAACCAGAAGCCAATCGTCCACAAACAAAAATAAGGCATTGGCTACGTAAATGATCTGATGGAGAAGTCGTGTCCAAAACGCTCCCAGTCTACCGCACCAGAAAGCTGAAAATTTTGCTCCAAATGGACATACGCGATAGAAATATAGTTTATTGTTCAAACTGAAGCCCACCAATCCACGATGTTCTTCTTTGATGACACAGAGTTTGTGGGCAGACTTAGCGTCAAGGCCAAGTGCTCCAAGTTCCTCGGATTGATTGCATAGAGGATATCAGCGTTGAACCTCTCTGGCACTGGGAAGCTGTTGATGTTCCCGGATATTGCAGTTAGGATTTGTGCCACATACTGTATAGTCAACCACCAAGCGTGGGGGGTCTCGAGTCAGAAAGTGCGACCCCCAATTTCCCAATGGCTACACCTTGAGGCCAACGTTGTTTAGCCTCCTCCACCGCGCCTTCAAAACAAATGAGCCAGCCTTTTGAGATTTCCTCGGCAACCAATTCTGATGTAATGTCAGGATGGTCCTCTGCAGTTTTCCAGTTAGTAAGATGAATAGACAAATCTGAAGGTGCAGGTTCCTGCGTTTCCACTTTGGATGCAAATTCATTGGAGGGCTTGATGTCCTCCTGATAACCTGTCGATACCCCCGCAATGAGTTCAGAAAATAAATGGGCGTCCGGGTCCTCCATCAAAGTGCTCAATGCTGCCAGAGCGTGAAGACATAACGGCTGATCAGCTCTAACTTGCCAATCCAGAGGTGATGGGATGGGCAACAACGAGTCCAAAGAGGCCCGAAAACTATTTATAATGTCATCTGAAAAAGGAGGGTCTGTCTTCTTCTGCAAACAATGAGCCGTAATCATCTTATGCCAGTTGTTTTGAAGGATTTTTGGGATCCAATGATCTCTCGAACAGCTCTAAAGAAATTGGGGGCTTCGGAAGGAGGTTTTGACCAATCTGGCTGGGATGGAAGACCTCCCCCATCAACAAACCCTGTGGGATTCTGAAAACGATGTTTTCTTGGGAAATAAATCAAAAACGTTCTGCCAGCAAACTTGGGTATCCAGTGGTGTAAGGAGCACAGAAATTTTTGAAGCAAATGCTGATGCCAAAGCTGGGGGGTACGCCGCAGAACCCTTGCTCATGTAGACCCCATGCTCATCTCGTACACCAGCGATCGAAGGATGAGCTTGCTTACCATGGTCACAAACCGCTGCTATCTCTGACAGGGGGTGAAAAGAAGATGCAAATAACCACGTCTTCATGATGTTCCAATTGAAAGCACATGCAGCTAATAAGATCAGGGAACATCCGGCTAACCTGACCCATTCTTGAGTGCATGATTCACTCCAGCTCATAGCACCTGATGGTTGTTCTAAATGTCCATGCCCACCTGCAGAATATGTTACAGAAATCGAATTGACACATCTGTCCAAGATGGTAGCACTATCCTGCAAACGTTGGGTCTCCAATGGGGTCAAATCTGGTACCCCGTCCAACATGTCTGGTGTTCGAATGGCCTTGGGGCCACCTGGACGAAGTTTAAGCAGGCTATATTCTGTGCACGACGGTGACGCCGCTGAATATCCAATGACCCCGGATCCACACAAACGCAGCAATTGTTCATAAAATGGATCGTGCAACAAATCCATGTTTGAATCCACCAGTAAATCTATAGCCAGTGCTGGGAGCCCCAAGGCAGAGACAGCTGTAGTCAGTGGTGCATCGACGCCACTGCAGATGTCTAGGAAGATCTTGGTTCCCTGACAACGCCAAGGAGTCAAAAGTTCTTGTGCAAAATTTGTTATTTGAGTACGTAAAGAAAGCTGTGCTGAACCAGCTGAAGCTGTCACATGAAATTGCGCTCTGAGGTGCTCTGGGAGCGGCTTGTCGCCGAATCCTGTGATTTTGGGGTCGTTGCCAACGGAATGGGTGGCAATTGAGCCTACGCTGTGCTTTGAGTAATCAATAGGGGGGAGAGTAGGATCGCGTCGCGTGATACGTGTAAACTGAACCAATCGCAAGACTCGACCAGAAACTCCAAACTAAAAATTTCACATCACATCAAAACGACATGCCACAGAAAATCACTGCAGTTGAAACGACATGTGTGTAAACTGACATCAATTGAAAGGCTGAAGCAGAAACCTTCACACGCATTTTGGACACGTCGGTGGTGAAGCCTGCACTCTGTGTCTTCACGTTGTACCATTGTACAAACGCTGTAGTTGTGTGAGCCTTCACACAAAGTTTTCAGCAATCCACCAAGCTTCCAAGTCTGTAGAATTGAAACACCCAAGCTTTCAAGTTTGTAGGATTGAAACATCCCAGTCTGTTGTCGTTCAAGATGCCTCACCCCTGGGTGACAAGTGCAGGCATCATCCCAAGGGTGGGCTGGGCGGGTACCCAAAAGTTTTCTCCAAGCCATAGCTCACGAAAAATAAAATTCGTCATGAATCAAGTGCAAGTTGAAGTCATCAAAACTGAATGTTTGACAAGCATTGACAGTCACAGTAAAAAACCACAAGTCACCTCTGTTGAAGTCCAAGTACTGTAAAATTTCCAGAAGCTCAAAAAGGCATCGAGAAAATGATTCCAGAGAAACTTTGCCACACTCTGCAAATTGAAAACTGGAATTTGTTTGTTGAGGTTGTTGTTCGGCAACGGAGTTAACCCAGCGACGAAGCAGTACCCAAGCAAAGCACCCACAACGAATCCCACCCACCCGCCCTGATACCCAAAGCGCCGCATAGACCCACAGGGCAAGCCCAGTGAAGCCTACGCTGTGCTTTGAGTAATCAATAGGGGGGAGAGTAGGATCGCGTCGCGTGATACGTGTAAACTGAACCAATCGCAAGACTCGACCAGAAACTCCAAACTAAAAATTTCACATCACATCAAAACGACATGCCACAGAAAATCACTGCAGTTGAAACGACATGTGTGTAAACTGACATCAATTGAAAGGCTGAAGCAGAAACCTTCACACGCATTTTGGACACGTCGGTGGTGAAGCCTGCACTCTGTGTCTTCACGTTGTACCATTGTACAAACGCTGTAGTTGTGTGAGCCTTCACACAAAGTTTTCAGCAATCCACCAAGCTTCCAAGTCTGTAGAATTGAAACACCCACCGCAGCGAAAGACGAAAAGGAAGATTGGACATTTACCAAGGTGTCTTATCGACTCTCTTCCTCTTCTTTTCTGGTTCCTTCGGAATCGATGTTTTCGCCAACAAACGTGCCTCATCAAAATCTGCCTTGACCTGCCAAAGTGCATGTATGATCTCCGTCGGGATATCATCATATTCAACATGTAGCCTTTTCTCCATGTCCAGTTGTGTGAAAACAGAGTTAGTGATATCATCTGCAACCGTGTTCTCTTCACGGGGTCTCCATTTCAGCTTGACCACCGTCCTAGATCGTGCAAGAAGTGATGAAAGTTGCATGTTCACCAACATCAACGGCCACTTCGTGGTCGACCGCTTCTGAGATAAATATTCATTTGCTCTATTGTCCGTACCTGCTGTCAAATGTAACTCAAGCTCCTTCCTAGAACGAGCGTCTCCCGACCATCCAAACACAACTAATGCTGCAAGTGTCGCCAATAATTCGGCCGAAGTTGAGGCCCACTGTGACCCCTTCCCATGTGAAAATTAATATGGCACGTCGGACTCCGACAGAATAAGCTGGAACCATCGACCAGTTGATATTTCCCATCCACCAAGGACAACTGAAGTGTCAGTGCACTTTGCATCTGTCCTGAATTGCTCACCTGTGAATGTGGCCGGCCTCTTCGCTGAGACCATGTAAGTTTCAGATCTGAACTCAGTCAGCAAATATGTCATTGTCAAGATCACCGCATCCGGAAGCTTCGCAACTGTGCTGCCGGATGTGGCTGATGCCCAAGCATACAATGGCGATAAATGCGGCTTCAGCCACACCAGTAACTGAGAGACGAATCCAAGCCGGCCAAGAAATTCAGAGAATTCACGAGTCACAACCACAAACCTCTTTTCCGCAGCGGTGTTGATCCATTTCACAAGCCAATCGCCCCTTCGTAAAGAAATCCCTACCTCATTGAGGTCATATCTCAGTTGGTATCCAACAAATTCAGAGGAGAACCCGCCACGAAACTTGTGATAGGCAAACGGTGTGCCAACCAGTTCAAAGGCCAAGATCCAAACCCACAAGTTCGAAAATTTCTCCCTGCCGACAAATGATCCGTGTAAGTCGTCAACATAAACCAGATGAAGAAACCAAGCGTTCATCATGAGATGCCCTACAAATCGTCCAACCATTGCCAAGAGTTTCGCCCACCAGTAGGGCGCGCTTGAGATGCCAAAAGTTCCAACCCTGTTAACCCACACTGTAGGTGAGTCAGTGTTTGCTTTGCAACACATGTATGGCCAATCACAACGACGCACCTTCACAAGTCTGTGTGCCGCTTTAATGTCTGCCGACACACAAAAGGGAGCTTCCAAGGTTTCAACAGATTCCCTCACCACTGCTGCAACTTCAGCAGGTCCAGGGCATTGTATCTGATCTCTGTAAACAATGCGATTGTTAACTTGAACTGAATGTGTACCATCATGTAGTGGCCTGACGGTGCCGTCAGGCTTGGCAATCGCAGCCATGGCAGCAATCCTGATACGCTCTTCACCAAACTCCTGCTTCAACGTAGAAAACCTGGTCGGGTACATGCGCCCCAATGCCTCCTCTTCTCTGAACTTGGCTTCCAACTCAGTGGATGAGACCTGAGCTGATTGATAGTTGTTTGCAATGGGATTGAACTCGGAGTCATCAAGTTTTCTATGCTTCACTTTCTCAGGGTATACCTGAGGTGTCCGTGGCAGTGGTGCATCAACACCCAATGGCACCCCGGTCGCAAAACTATCCTCTATGTCCACCAGAGTTGGGGCGTCTGGATCCAAACACTGTGAGCCATTGTGACAGCCCCCTAAGCAAAAACGGTTGTCCCTCATCAACAATAAGTGCATCTGCTGGATCAGACAAAAGGGAAGCCCACCTCTTTCTCAATGCTGTAAGCTCTCCAACTGAAAACGGTGAGGATTCAAACTTTCCAGTAACCAATCTGAACGCCGCTGCCCTGACATCAGGGATGCATCTGTGAACCATATCCTGCAGCAAAACAAAAGTCTCTGACGCCAACTTTCTCATTGTGTCCGACCTCCTCACACCTCTTGCAAGAGGTGGCCATCTCGTGGGTGAGCAAAGACCAAACCCATCCACAAACTCACGAGAGCGGCCATCCCATTCAACACTAATAGGGCGGCCCCTATTCAAGCATGCTTCCATATCAAAGCCCTGTGTGTCATGTACCTCGTCATCATCGTTTTCAGCACATGCATGGTTCTGAGCCTCTCCTGGGGCCGTATCTGTTGTTGGCGTAGCTGTATCCCTGCAAAACACCGCTGTGCAAGAAGGCATAGCACTTGACTCAAGTGGTGCCGCTGCTGACTCAGTTGACTCAACGTTGGAGGCTGTTTTGTGAGAAGGGGCAATACTCGACTCAAGTGGGGCTCCAGCCCCACTTGACTCAAGTGAAGCCAATTGCTTGCCATTCTTTGCACCCCCTCCGGAGGTTGCGACAGCACCAAAAATGGCATCTGCAATAAATTTGCACATACCTGGAGGGTATGCTGCACTTGGACTTGTATTCCAACGGTTTCCAGTCTTTCCCATAAGTTTGTACGTGTGTCTGTGACCGCATTTCTGTGGAAGTGGGCCCAAATACCTGTTAGTCTTGTCAAACTTTGGAAACCCCAAGTAGCACCTGCGGTCTTGAACCTGAAAATTACACATCAGTCGTGTAGGCTTGGATGTCAATGCGCCAAATTGGCACTGATGAATTGCTATTGTGATACCGTGACACCATGCAAGTAAATTGTGGATCTCCTCCCATTGCCATATGGAGCCTGGGACCTCACCGTCAACGATCCCTAAATCTTCAGGGTGCTCAAGCAAAAACCATCCGTCATGCTGTACAACTACATAGCAAGCATTAATGCACTGCAAGACAAACTCATTGGCCTCGTTGACGATTTTCGCATTAACATTTGAAAGCCATGGGAATCCCTTAGGCCATGTGCGACTTCTGAGTGGCCTTGGGCCAGGATACCGTCGCCATTGAAATCGTGCACGTGAAAAGGTGTTGCACGGAGGACTGACGATCAAAAACCATCCTCCCTCCTTGAGTGTCTCACATATCTGGTCCCACAGCTCTTTGCTTCGCAAATCATGTGTCTCAGAACGTTCGATGTCAAATTCCTGCAACTGCAATCGAATCTTTCCAGCTTCCTCCAGCTTTTTCAAGAAAGTGCTGACATCCGATTGCCGCCGCTTCCCAGCAAACAAATAGAGAACCTTTACCAGCACTGGCTGTGCCGGTGGCCCGTTTGGCACGCCACCCCGGCTGGGATGGGTTGGCTGCCCATCATGTCACGAGCCAACAACTTCTTTGTGTTTGATGGCGGGATGGTCGCCATAACAGCCCTTGACCCGGCACTGATGAACTCGATCACATTTGCCATTGCAAGTGCCTGTATTGTAACCAAAGCACAACTCACGATTGTCTGGTGTCCTCCATGCCAGCTGCAAACCAGCTAACTCTTTACGGATCTCCTTTCCCTTGCCTTTTGAGCCTTTTGCCCTTTCCCTTTTGTGTTTGAAATTTTCCGCCACCCTTGCTGTTGAACCTTTGAAACTTGTTCTGCTGAAAGCCCTCTGAGTGCTGTGACATGGAAGCGCGTAACGCAACAGGGGTGGTGAAAAACGTCTCCTTGAGCTCCGGGTCATGGATCACCCGGTGCAAAGCATCGGCAAGTGAGATACCATCTCTGACAATCATCTTGCAAGCCTCTTTACGCAACCTGTGCTCAAAGTTCAACACGATAGACCAATCGGGCTTGACTCTCTGACTGCCCTCACCGTGAAGTGAAGGAACCTGGATGTTCTAAACCTTCTCACCCAAGATGAAGTCAACGAACTTGTTGAATGGGGCAGCTGTCAAGCCAACCAGGATTTTGATTTGTACCTGGCTGCCATCACTCTGCGATACTCTTCCGTGGTCGCCGGAAGCTTCGATTTCACCTTGGTCTTTGTGATCCTGATATGTCCTGATGAATCCAAGCCAGTCTGAAGCTCTGCCGTTTGTGAGTCACGCTTGCTGGTTACTTCGTCCAACGACGAAGCCTGTGGCTCATTTGTTTCTGTCTCCTCTGCCTTGACTGAAAGATACTCAGCAGAAGGGGCTTCTGCCTCTTGTAATGGCCCATAGACCAACTCCACTGCTTTCAACATTGCCTGCCTCTCGTAGACCTGCAAGGCCCGTGGCTGGCCAAGAACCTTTGCCTCTGCACGAATCTCCACCTCCTTCGAGATGTATTCCTGGGCAACCTCCCAGGCTGAAACCACTGCAGCTGTCTCTGCCCTGCTCTCTGGTGTATCCTGTGGAATCGCAAAGTCATTCAAACAGGCCCTACGCACGTCTGCACGTGTGTCAACAACTGCCCTAAATTTCCTCATGTTGCCATACCTCCGAGCAATGGCAACCTGTCCCTCCAAAGAGATGCCGGAATCTGACAAAACAAATTGTAAATCTGAATCCATATGCGCAGCAACATATTCCTTTTGTTGTGCTTCGTCCATGGCAACCCACGCTGGCGGTCTAAACCCTGTGCCAACGCGTGCAAACTAAAACACAAGACATCGTTTCATGAAAACACCCATGGACAAAATCTCACACAGGAGGATCAAGAAACGCATTGGAAAAACAACGTATCCAAGCGATTAAAGTGGAGAGGTTCAAAATGGATTGCATCAGAAAATAAACTTCAACCAGAGAGTGACAAAATCGAAGTTGAATGAGTTTCAATGCCAATGTCTTGACAACGGCCTGAGCCCTTGGTTGTCTTCGCAACGTCTAAACGTGTAATCCGGCTGCCACCGCTGAATAACCCTGACATCAATGTATTTTGAAACTCAGTCAAATCGCCAACACACGCAAATCACAAGCACATGAAACTCAAATTAAAACTCTCCAAACAGTGTGAAATCAAATCGAGTTCAGACAGGTGAAATACTTTGGCCCCAATGCACAATCAAAACAACAGCAAACAAATCAACACGAGTGGTCTTAACAACTTCCAAAATCCATGTGAACAGAGCACTCATCAGCACTGAATTTTAAGCTCTTCAGCGCCTGACGTTTAGTCTCCGGCCTGTTCCCCTTCAGGGCTATCGTCACCGTCAGTGGACGATGAGGAAGCAGTCGAACTTGACTCCTCAGGAGTGTCCTTACCCGCTTCCTGCAGCATACGCTTTTTGCATGCACGACAAATAGAATCGAACTCTTCGGAAGTAACTGTGTTACACAATCTGACTTCACAGCAATTGTCTGGTTTTACAAAGCACCCAACCAAATGCAGCCATCTGTGTCCAGCCCTCCGGGACACTGTGATGAAGAATTGTGAGACTCCTTGGATTGCAAGTGTTTCGCATTCTCTGTGACCTGTGTCTGAACTGCCATTTCAAGCTCAGCGTTCTCAACCGCTGCACCATCATCAATATCAACCCAGTCATCATCTCTCACTTCCAAGGTGGGGTGTTGCATACCCAAACAAGTGCGGCCCGTGATGGCCATCATGACAATGTGCCTCTTTTTGATCCTCATTGGACATTCAAAAGTCTCCTTTTCCTTTGCCCTTGTCGACGACGATGGAGGCACTGGATGCTGTTGTTGAGAAACACTGGACATCCCACCAAGTGAAGAAGATGGTGATCCCTGAACTGCCGTGGAACCTGCAGCTGCTTCTGAACCAACCTGTCTCACCTGACCAGAATGCCAGCAGTCTTTAGCCATGTGACCAGTGCGTCCACATACGTAACATGCTCTTGAGTCTCCTTTTCCTTTGCCCTTGGATCGATCGTTTTGCACACTGACGTTTCCCTTTGAACCCTTCTGATTCTGATCTGAAGGCTTTCCTTTTCCTTTTCCATCTTTGTTCTTTCCTTTTCCTTTTGACTTTCCACTTTGAATTGTCTTTTGATTTTCCCTTTGAACCTTTTGATTTGCCCTTGGACTGCACACGGTCTATTTCCATTGGACCTTCGGCAGCACTCATTGCACTGTCTGTACCCAGCACCATCTGCTCAGACCATTTTGTAGTGCTCGAATCGTAGAGCAACACCATCTCACGCACCTTTGCATATGTGGTTGATTCATTGACCTGAAGTTGTAGCCATACCTTCAGCTATCCAGTCAATGACCTCATCAAAATGGCCGTCTTGAGATCTTCATTGAGTCTTGTCCCAAGCTTCTCGTACTCTGCAAAGGCATGCTCCAAGCGCAACAACTGCTGCATCAAAGAAAGCTTACCTGTAAACGCAGGCCAATTCATGATGACATTCAAAAGCCCCATGCTTCTGTTCTTTGAAACCGGCTCATTCTGCTGAATCAACATCCGGTATGCTTCCAGCCCGTTTGAACCTGTCACGTTCCTAACCACCAGCAAAGGCCTCTGACGAAGCAATGATGAAAGAAGGCTGTACAGAAAATGATTTCTCTGCCGCTCTGTATCTGTAAAATCCACAGGATCAACAGCTTGATTGGGGTTTGCACGCAGTTGTTCTATATCATCTGCAAATTTGGCATCTATGGAGGCAACGTACTGCTCGAATGCCCATGACCACTCACGCCATGCAGCTATCTCACTTTCTCTATTGGTATGCTCAAACGTTGGTGGCTTTGGCAACAGTCTCCACCATTGCTTACTGTCATCAGTTGAAGTTCTGGAAACGCCTTCAACTGCTCTGGTAGCTGCTTGAGCAGCCAGGGCAGCTGCTTCAGCTGCTTGCACCATACGTCGAGCCACCTCCATGCCATCCACACCTTCAACACCAGGTGTAGCTGCTGCTGCAGCTGGTGATCCACCAGCAGAAGGACTACCAACCTGCGGTGAATCCATGTCCCCAATCTCAGCCTCCTCCTCAAAGAAATTGTCAAAGGAAAATCAAATCTCACACTTTCGTTCTGCTGCAAATTCTCTGTCAACGCCAGGAAAACTGTACCCACAATCCAGCACCTGTATTTTCCAGAACCTGTGTTTAGACCTTAGGCCTACCAGTATATATCCAGAATTCCAGTGTTTGCCAGTTGTATTCTAAATCCCAGCTGTTCGTCCAAATGCAGCTACCTCCAGAAAGGTTCAGCACCAGGAAAGCGTCTGCCCGCAAGCGGGCTCCGCTACCATGCAAAGACTCAGGCGAAAACGCTGCAGTCTATTTTCACTCGTGCCAAAAGGGTCTCACACGTTTCAACTGCACATGCTGTTCATGTCAGTCTATGAAGTGAAATGACAAATGCAACTCTCTTATCGATTTGTGCGTGTCATCCTGGCACATGTGAGTGGGCTCCACAACTTTCCACAAAAAAAACTGGAGCCGGTCCAAGTCAACACGTTGATGCATTCAATTCACCACATTGATTTGTTTACCTCTGATGCGATTTAACTTTGCTAACGCTTCACGGTTTGCAGATTGAAATTTTTCCTTGATGCGAAAAGCGTCTGAAGATACACTTCTTGGTTTGTGCGTGTTGCACATGCATGACATCCAACTGCAACAACTATGTATACGCTATTGGAGTTGGAACTACACAGGCGTAAGTGACTTTCACCCCGCCTCGACATAGCTGATTAGCTGATGTCGCTACTCGCCAAAAGAAAATGTCAAAAGTTGACAACAAGCATTTGCCGCTGGGGTCCAACTTTAGGATGCCGGTACTTGCTTTGCCTCTTAAAGGCTTGCTTGCTGCAACAACGTGAAACACTCTCATTTCCTCAAGGTAAATGTCTAACTACGCAGCTCAGCCAACAAGGATCCACGTTATCCCCTGCCTAAGGCCAGTTTCACTCTGCTGTTGTTCAGCGTTCGTTCTAACAAGTAAGCATTCATTATGCTACAGAGCTTTGAGAAAGCGAGCGATCACTGACACATATTCATACTTAAACATATACATATATATGCACATATATGTACACCTATGCATATATAAATATCACTACAAAACCAAACCAAAACATAAAACCAAACATAGTAAAAACACTCCCCAAAAATGTGCACGTGAATCACTCTGCTCTGAAACGAATCGGAATCCTCGCATTGTTTTCCATTGCCAGAAATTTGATGTGTACGTTTCACATCTGAAGTCAGATAGGTCGATGGTCACAAAACACCCAAACACTCTATCGAACTAAAGGACTTCATGAACGCCGGAAAACACCCCTTTGAAAATTAGTGTGAAAGAAGGACTGGCAACGGAAAACATGAGGCTAAAATCGAGGCTTAGGGGGTTTCCAAGACACCGATGCCCCCTTTGGGAACACTTTCGGTTCCGGAAAGGGAAACCATATTTCGGACAATTGGAGACGGATGCGATCGGATGCATTCAGGTCTGAGGGCAGTGGGTTGTCTAAGGGCAATCTGGAAATTCGATCCGCAAGTTCGTTGGTGTGGCCGGCAATGTGGCTGACATCTAGTTCGGCATGAACAGTTGCAATCAGCATACACAATCGTTCAACGAAGAAGCATAATGGAGCCTTGGTAGTGAAAATAAAATTATTACTAGTGTTGGTGGCTGCTGTTATCTACAAAGGGTGAACCCAAAAATCCCTCGAAAAAACTCGTCGCAATCTTGCCGCAAAAACCATCCACATGTTCGCACATGAAATAAAACTGCAAACGAAGAAACTCACAAACGAACCCTTGACTTCAGCTGACATGTCATGTAGGATGAACTTCCGTGGGCACTCTTCTTTTTGACACCAGTGACGATGGGCTGTACGATTCAGTCGCAACAAATATGCAGCTCCAGAAGATACCATCACCGGTGGCGACCATATAAATCGCACTGACAAGTTTGAGACCACAGCTGCCAAACACTCGCTGTGGATATTAGGCTGTATCACCCCCACAGCTGCCAGACACTCGCTGTGGATATTAAGTGGTATGTCTCCAAGGCAGTAGATCTCAAGGAAAAAGGGTGTGGAGGGGGGGGCAACCTCTTGTCCAAAAAGGATAGAGGCTACCCGCCACCCAACCCTGCTGAGCCATACGTCACGACGTGACATTGAATCCATTCCAACTTGAGTTGTATAGTAACATCGCTGCAAGAAACCTGTTCAGTGAAGAAAACGTCAAGATTGAAATGCCACTGCAAGAAGTTGATTTCCATGTAAGAAACCTTTCCAGTGAAGAAAACGACAAGATTGAAATGCCACTGCAAGAAGTTGATTTCCAAGTTGAATTCGCTTCCAAAGAAACATGCTCAACGCAAAACACCTGTCCAATAAATGACTGTTGTAATTGCAAGCGCAAAGAAGCTTCGAGTGATCCCACAAGAGAACAGAAGTCCATCAAACGGAAGAGACAACAGCAGCACGAAACACGTTTCTCACCAACACTAGTAATAAGGAGCTATCAACAAGTTGACCGCAAACTTGGAATTTGCCTCTGCTGCAGTGTTATCGCTTAAACTTTTCATAGTGAGAGGAAATCGTTGGCCTGGAAAAAAATGGCACAAAGTGTACAGCAAGCAAAATTGAGCAAATGTCTCATATGAACTTATGTCCTTCTGCATATCAGTGTTGACGGGAACACCCAATGCCAGAAAATCGGAGGATGTCCATTGTTCGCTGAACCATTTCATGTCACCATTTTGCAAAGCGAAGGAATCCGCCCACTTGGCAATGATTGCCGTGAGCGCATGCATCAGCTGCTGCCTCTCCATTCCAAAGGGGCTTTGGGTTCATTGAAACAAATGGGATCAAATGTTGCAACCATGCTTTGTACATAGACAGGATACGTTGAGAGCTAGGGCTGATGGTACGGTTGCTGGATGTCGGATCAAGGATACGCAGCCAAATCCTTTTTTCATATAAGCGACAATTTCGAACATCCTCAATTGATTGGACTGGTTGATGCCGCACCGATAAGAGTTGTCCACCAATAGGAATCGCTGTCCCAATGGGGCGGACATTGAAATGCAGGGTGTCTGACAAGCAGGCGATAGTGGTCAACCAGTATCCCGGATCCACCGGAAACAGGGTGGCGGGAGCTTGGTACATGTCAGCATAAAGATGGTGAATAAATGCCCGCATGACAGGAAACAACTGAGTGACCCAGAGAAGTAGTCCCACAAACTTCTCAATCTGCTTCTTGGAGGTCTTGGGTCGTTGCAAAAGTTCATCAATGAGCGACAGCAGTTTGTCACGTTTGGTCAGTTGCAGTTTGATTATGCCCGTGGAAAAATTGAGAGTCCAGCCAATCCAGTTGACTTGACGGTCCAATTCTGCTTTACGCCAGCTAATCGGCAGCCGAAACGCTTGCAAAAACAATGTGACCAATGCTGCAGTAACTGGGAGAATATCTAAACGTTGAACCAGAAGCCAATCGTCCACAAACAAAAATAAGGCATTGGCTACGTAAATGATCTGATGGAGAAGTCGTGTCCAAAACGCTCCCAGTCTACCGCACCAGAAAGCTGAAAATTTTGCTCCAAATGGACATACGCGATAGAAATATAGTTTATTGTTCAAACTGAAGCCCACCAATCCACGATGTTCTTCTTTGATGACACAGAGTTTGTGAGCAGACTTAGCGTCAAGGCCAAGTGCTCCAAGTTCCTCGGATTGATTGCATAGAGGATATCAGCGTTGAACCTCTTTGGCACTGGGAAGCTGTTGATGTTCCCGGATATTGCAGTTAGGATTTGTGCCACATACTGTATAGTCAACCACCAAGCGTGGGGGGTCTCGAGTCAGAAAGTGCGACCCCAATTTCCCAATGGCTACACCTTGAGGCCAACGTTGTTTAGCCTCCTCCACCGCGCCTTCAAAACAAATGAGCCAGCCTTTTGAGATTTCCTCGGCAACCAATTCTGATGTAATGTCAGGATGGTCCTCTGCAGTTTTCCAGTTAGTAAGATGAATAGACAAATCTGAAGGTGCAGGTTCCTGCGTTTCCACTTTGGATGCAAATTCATTGGAGGGCTTGATGTCCTCCTGATAACCTGTCGATACCCCTGCAATGAGTTCAGAAAATAAATGGGCGTCCGGGTCCTCCATCAAAGTGCTCAATGCTGCCAGAGCGTGAAGACATAACGGCTGATCAGCTCTAACTTGCCAATCCAGAGGTGATGGGATGGGCAACAACGAGTCCAAAGAGGCCCGAAAACTATTTATAATGTCATCTGAAAAAGGAGGGTCTGTCTTCTTCTGCAAACAATGAGCCGTAATCATCTTATGCCAGTTGTTTTGAAGGATTTTTGGGATCCAATGATCTCTCGAACAGCTCTAAAGAAATTGGGGGCTTCGGAAGGAGGTTTTGACCAATCTGGCTGGGATGGAAGACCTCCCCCATCAACAAACCCTGTGGGATTCTGAAAAAGATGTTTTTTGGGAAATAAATCAAAAACGTTCTGCCAGCAAACTTGGGTATCCAGTGGTGTAAGGAGCACAGAAATTTTTGAAGCAAATGCTGATGCCAAAGCTGGGGGGTACGCCGCAGAACCCTTGCTCATGTAGACCCCATGCTCATCTCGTACACCAGCGATCGAAGGATGAGCTTGCTTACCATGGTCACAAACCGCTGCTATCTCTGACAGGGGGTGAAAAGAAGATGCAAATAACCACGTCTTCATGATGTTCCAATTGAAAGCACATGCAGCTAATAAGATCAGGGAACATCCGGCTAACCTGACCCATTCTTGAGTGCATGATTCACTCCAGCTCATAGCACCTGATGGTTGTTCTAAATGTCCATGCCCACCTGCAGAATATGTTACAGAAATCGAATTGACACATCTGTCCAAGATGGTAGCACTATCCTGCAAACGTTGGGTCTCCAATGGGGTCAAATCTGGTACCCCGTCCAACATGTCTGGTGTTCGAATGGCCTTGGGGCCACCTGGACGAAGTTTAAGCAGGCTATATTCTGTGCACGACGGTGACGCCGCTGAATATCCAATGACCCCGGATCCACACAAACGCAGCAATTGTTCATAAAATGGATCGTGCAACAAATCCATGTTTGAATCCACCAGTAAATCTATAGCCAGTGCTGGGAGCGCCAAGGCAGAGACAGCTGTAGTCAGTGGTGCATCGACGCCACTGCAGATGTCTAGGAAGATCTTGGTTCCCTGACAACTCCAAGGAGTCAAAAGTTCTTGTGCAAAATTTGTTATTTGAGTACGTAAAGAAAGCTGTGCTGAACCAGCTGAAGCTGTCACATGAAATTGCGCTCTGAGGTGCTCTGGGAGCGGCTTGTCGCCGAAACCTGTGATTTTGGGGTCGTTGCCAACGGAATGGGTGGCAACTGAGCCTACGCTGTGCTTTGAGTAATCAATAGGGGGGAGAGTAGGATCGCGTCGCGTGATACGTGTAAACTGAACCAATCGCAAGACTCGACCAGAAACTCCAAACTAAAAATTTCACATCACATCAAAACGACATGCCACAGAAAATCACTGCAGTTGAAACGACATGTGTGTAAACTGACATCAATTGAAAGGCTGAAGCAGAAACCTTCACACGCATTTTGGACACGTCGGTGGTGAAGCCTGCACTCTGTGTCTTCACGTTGTACCATGGTACAAACGCTGTAGTTGTGTGAGCCTTCACACAAAGTTTTCAGCAATCCACCAAGCTTCCAAGTCTGTAGAATTGAAACACCCAAGCTTTCAAGTTTGTAGGATTGAAACATCCCAGTCTGTTGTCGTTCAAGATGCCTCACCCCTGGGTGACAAGTGCAGGCATCATCCCAAGGGTGGGCTGGGCGGGTACCCAAAAGTTTTCTCCAAGCCATAGCTCACGAAAAATAAAATTCGTCATGAATCAAGTGCAAGTTGAAGTCATCAAAACTGAATGTTTGACAAGCATTGACAGTCACAGTAAAAAACCACAAGTCACCTCTGTTGAAGTCCAAGTACTGTAAAATTTCCAGAAGCTCAAAAAGGCATCGAGAAAATGATTCCAGAGAAACTTTGCCACACTCTGCAAATTGAAAACTGGAATTTGTTTGTTGAGGTTGTTGTTCGGCAACGGAGTTAACCCAGCGACGAAGCAGTACCCAAGCAAAGCACCCACAACGAATCCCACCCACCCGCCCTGATACCCAAAGCGCCGCATAGACCCACAGGGCAAGCCCAGTGAAGCCTACGCTGTGCTTTGAGTAATCAATAGGGGGGAGAGTAGGATCGCGTCGCGTGATACGTGTAAACTGAACCAATCGCAAGACTCGACCAGAAACTCCAAACTAAAAATTTCACATCACATCAAAACGACATGCCACAGAAAATCACTGCAGTTGAAACGACATGTGTGTAAACTGACATCAATTGAAAGGCTGAAGCAGAAACCTTCACACGCATTTTGGACACGTCGGTGGTGAAGCCTGCACTCTGTGTCTTCACGTTGTACCATTGTACAAACGCTGTAGTTGTGTGAGCCTTCACACAAAGTTTTCAGCAATCCACCAAGCTTCCAAGTCTGTAGAATTGAAACACCCACCGCAGCGAAAGACGAAAAGGAAGATTGGACATTTACCAAGGTGTCTTATCGACTCTCTTCCTCTTCTTTTCTGGTTCCTTCGGAATCGATGTTTTCGCCAACAAACGTGCCTCATCAAAATCTGCCTTGACCTGCCAAAGTGCATGTATGATCTCCGTCGGGATATCATCATATTCAACATGTAGCCTTTTCTCCATGTCCAGTTGTGTGAAAACAGAGTTAGTGATATCATCTGCAACCGTGTTCTCTTCACGGGGTCTCCATTTCAGCTTGACCACCGTCCTAGATCGTGCAAGAAGTGATGAAAGTTGCATGTTCACCAACATCAACGGCCACTTCGTGGTCGACCGCTTCTGAGATAAATATTCATTTGCTCTATTGTCCGTACCTGCTGTCAAATGTAACTCAAGCTCCTTCCTAGAACGAGCGTCTCCCGACCATCCAAACACAACTAATGCTGCAAGTGTCGCCAATAATTCGGCCGAAGTTGAGGCCCACTGTGACCCCTTCCCATGTGAAAATAAATATGGCACGTCGGACTCCGACAGAATAAGCTGGAACCATCGACCAGTTGATATTTCCCATCCACCAAGGACAACTGAAGTGTCAGTGCACTTTGCATCTGTCCTGAATTGCTCACCTGTGAATGTGGCCGGCCTCTTCGCTGAGACCATGTAAGTTTCAGATCTGAACTCAGTCAGCAAATATGTCATTGTCAAGATCACCGCATCCGGAAGCTTCGCAACTGTGCTGCCGGATGTGGCTGATGCCCAAGCATACAATGGCGATAAATGCGGCTTCAGCCACACCAGTAACTGAGAGACGAATCCAAGCCGGCCAAGAAATTCAGAGAATTCACGAGTCACAACCACAAACCTCTTTTCCGCAGCGGTGTTGATCCATTTCACAAGCCAATCGCCCCTTCGTAAAGAAATCCCTACCTCATTGAGGTCATATCTCAGTTGGTATCCAACAAATTCAGAGGAGAACCCGCCACGAAACTTGTGATAGGCAAACGGTGTGCCAACCAGTTCAAAGGCCAAGATCCAAACCCACAAGTTCGAAAATTTCTCCCTGCCGACAAATGATCCGTGTAAGTCGTCAACATAAACCAGATGAAGAAACCAAGCGTTCATCATGAGATGCCCTACAAATCGTCCAACCATTGCCAAGAGTTTCGCCCACCAGTAGGGCGCGCTTGAGATGCCAAAAGTTCCAACCCTGTTAACCCACACTGTAGGTGAGTCAGTGTTTGCTTTGCAACACATGTATGGCCAATCACAACGACGCACCTTCACAAGTCTGTGTGCCGCTTTAATGTCTGCCGACACACAAAAGGGAGCTTCCAAGGTTTCAACAGATTCCCTCACCACTGCTGCAACTTCAGCAGGTCCAGGGCATTGTATCTGATCTCTGTAAACAATGCGATTGTTAACTTGAACTGAATGTGTACCATCATGTAGTGGCCTGACGGTGCCGTCAGGCTTGGCAATCGCAGCCATGGCAGCAATCCTGATACGCTCTTCACCAAACTCCTGCTTCAACGTAGAAAACCTGGTCGGGTACATGCGCCCCAATGCCTCCTCTTCTCTGAACTTGGCTTCCAACTCAGTGGATGAGACCTGAGCTGATTGATAGTTGTTTGCAATGGGATTGAACTCGGAGTCATCAAGTTTTCTATGCTTCACTTTCTCAGGGTATACCTGAGGTGTCCGTGGCAGTGGTGCATCAACACCCAATGGCACCCCGGTCGCAAAACTATCCTCTATGTCCACCAGAGTTGGGGCGTCTGGATCCCCAAACACTGTGAGCCATTGTGACAGCCCCCTAAGCAAAAACGGTTGTCCCTCATCAACAATAAGTGCATCTGCTGGATCAGACAAAAGGGAAGCCCACCTCTTTCTCAATGCTGTAAGCTCTCCAACTGAAAACGGTGAGGATTCAAACTTTCCAGTAACCAATCTGAACGCCGCTGCCCTGACATCAGGGATGCATCTGTGAACCATATCCTGCAGCAAAACAAAAGTCTCTGACGCCAACTTTCTCATTGTGTCCGACCTCCTCACACCTCTTGCAAGAGGTGGCCATCTCGTGGGTGAGCAAAGACCAAACCCATCCACAAACTCACGAGAGCGGCCATCCCATTCAACACTAATAGGGCGGCCCCTATTCAAGCATGCTTCCATATCAAAGCCCTGTGTGTCATGTACCTCGTCATCATCGTTTTCAGCACATGCATGGTTCTGAGCCTCTCCTGGGGCCGTATCTGTTGTTGGCGTAGCTGTATCCCTGCAAAACACCGCTGTGCAAGAAGGCATAGCACTTGACTCAAGTGGTGCCGCTGCTGACTCAGTTGACTCAACGTTGGAGGCTGTTTTGTGAGAAGGGGCAATACTCGACTCAAGTGGGGCTCCAGCCCCACTTGACTCAAGTGAAGCCAATTGCTTGCCATTCTTTGCACCCCCTCCGGAGGTTGCGACAGCACCAAAAATGGCATCTGCAATAAATTTGCACATACCTGGAGGGTATGCTGCACTTGGACTTGTATTCCAACGGTTTCCAGTCTTTCCCATAAGTTTGTACGTGTGTCTGTGACCGCATTTCTGTGGAAGTGGACCCAAATACCTGTTAGTCTTGTCAAACTTTGGAAACCCCAAGTAGCACCTGCGGTCTTGAACCTGAAAATTACACATCAGTCGTGTAGGCTTGGATGTCAATGCGCCAAATTGGCACTGATGAATTGCTATTGTGATACCGTGACACCATGCAAGTAAATTGTGGATCTCCTCCCATTGCCATATGGAGCCTGGGACCTCACCGTCAACGATCCCTAAATCTTCAGGGTGCTCAAGCAAAAACCATCCGTCATGCTGTACAACTACATAGCAAGCATTAATGCACTGCAAGACAAACTCATTGGCCTCGTTGACGATTTTCGCATTAACATTTGAAAGCCATGGGAATCCCTTAGGCCATGTGCGACTTCTGAGTGGCCTTGGGCCAGGATACCGTCGCCATTGAAATCGTGCACGTGAAAAGGTGTTGCACGGAGGACTGACGATCAAAAACCATCCTCCCTCCTTGAGTGTCTCACATATCTGGTCCCACAGCTCTTTGCTTCGCAAATCATGTGTCTCAGAACGTTCGATGTCAAATTCCTGCAACTGCAATCGAATCTTTCCAGCTTCCTCCAGCTTTTTCAAGAAAGTGCTGACATCCGATTGCCGCCGCTTCCCAGCAAACAAATAGAGAACCTTTACCAGCACTGGCTGTGCCGGTGGCCCGTTTGGCACGCCACCCCGGCTGGGATGGGTTGGCTGCCCATCATGTCACGAGCCAACAACTTCTTTGTGTTTGATGGCGGGATGGTCGCCATAACAGCCCTTGACCCGGCACTGATGAACTCGATCACATTTGCCATTGCAAGTGCCTGTATTGTAACCAAAGCACAACTCACGATTGTCTGGTGTCCTCCATGCCAGCTGCAAACCAGCTAACTCTTTACGGATCTCCTTTCCCTTGCCTTTTGAGCCTTTGCCCTTTCCCTTTTGTGTTTGAAATTTTCCGCCACCCTTGCTGTTGAACCTTTGAAACTTGTTCTGCTGAAAGCCCTCTGAGTGCTGTGACATGGAAGCGCGTAACGCAACAGGGGTGGTGAAAAACGTCTCCTTGAGCTCCGGGTCATGGATCACCCGGTGCAAAGCATCGGCAAGTGAGATACCATCTCTGACAATCATCTTGCAAGCCTCTTTACTTTTTTTTCCGTCCAACGCCGTGTGGCTTCCGCCAGGTCGTTCAACATCTATCCAAGCATGTTGCATATGAGATTAATTAATTAATTCACGCAGAGGCCGAAGCTGTAGTGGCCGCAAAAGTAAACTGGTAGAGGACCGATACATAGTCCAAAGTCCTTGTCACGTTCCAGAGAACAAAAACCGAAACACAAAGAACCAAAAGCAAAAACAACACCAAAACAAACCCAAACAAAAACACAACCCACACAAAAAGAAAAACAACCACAAAGCCACAAAACCGTGACGTGACAGTTTCCAGTTTATGGGTGAAACAGATCTGTTGAGGCGAGAGGTGATAGCTTAGTATCATCTCGGCGCATGCAGATGACAACTTGTGTGTTATGTTCGCAGGCCCATAAAAATAAACAACAACAAGACAAACGACGAAATCACCATGGGCCAATTGAAGGGTGCGGGAAGCAACAAGGCTCAATGCGGAAACCAGGGATCCCCCCAGCCAGGATCCCCGAGATCACAACGAGCAGCCTTCACGGCATGACATTCACCCTGACACTTTGAAGCAAACACCGACAACGCCGGGTCACAACAAAGTGGTGAGAAAACTACCGCAGTGAAACAGGAGAGTGAAACGTGATCTAAGGTGAAAAATAAACATCGAGGCTACGGCACTCAGGGCACCCTCAGAGTCCGCTCAGTTGTTCTTTTCCTAGCATCATCATCGTTGGGAGCTGCCGTGCACTCTTGCGGTGTATACCGCTTTCACAACTGAATCCCATGCGATCGAGGTCGCGAAGGGCGAGCTCGACAGCATGGATGCAGGCTTGCAAGCGTTGAGCAGCTCGAGCGGTCAACTTAGCAGGTGTTGCAACCAACTGCATTTGATGCGGTCGGGTGATCATGGTAGCTGGCTCAGTTACCTTGGTGTAGGAATGCGAGCGTTTTTCTCTGCCCAGGGACCAGGTCTATCCTCAAAGTGTTCAAACGAGGTTCTGGACAGGCAACTTGTGTCAGCTGTGTTAAGGTCCTCTGTCGGGTAATGTTGTACGCTCGCATGCATGAGCTGTAGCTGTCGACTTATCACTTCACGTTCTGTAACATTGGCACGGGCTTCTACTCGAATGCGCAGACTCCTTATGCAACAGCAGGCTGTGCGAATGTCTCTGCAGTCTTGCTCGTTGATAACACCTGCAAGGAGTTCTGTTTGTTGCAATACGGCATGGGTGTCTTCCAAAGTTCTGAGAGTATTCGTCAGTCTGTGCACATAGTCCTGCAAAAGGAGGAGATCCTGTGCCTCATTGTGACTCTGGGGTTCTTGAGGCAGGCATACCACTTCACTTGGTTGCACTGAACTCATATGGCCAGGTGGCATTCAAGCAATGCAGGTACTGGATTGCGCTGAGCAAAACAGCGACGGGCGCCATGGCTTGATGTACTTTGACATCGCACTAAACTACCATGCAACAATTAAGGTAGCACAACACGAACAAATACAAATTAAAAACCCAGAACAGGATTATTATACCCGCCCCCCACCGCCTCCCGTCTCAGATTGGCTCCGACATGCTGACAGCAAAAGTAATTGCAGCGGGCGGTAATCAACCATGAGTACCCCATGGTGACAACACCGCTCAACCTAAGGCAAGTTACACGCTAAATGCATGGATGAGAAACATGGGGACTCTGCGTCACTTCATGTGGCTCACTGGAACTGCTCGTGTGTGGTGGTGCGAGGTTCTCCACTGCTACTAGCACCACTGGCTGCAGCAGTGGCGGGGGGTGGATCACTGCTCGCCGCTGGTTTCATCATTTGGGCGATAAGCGGGTGGGTTTGCTTGTCACGCAGGATCCGCGTCATTTCGCGAGTGAATGCCGCAGGGTCATCAACCAGTTCCCTTGCTTCCGCCAGTGGCCTGTCAAGGACAATGGCAATGAGCATTTCGCCACCATCTTTGTGGATTATAGTTGGTCGGCCGGCTTGTATCTCGGCGAGGATTGCCACTGCCTTGTTTTCACACAAAGTGCGTTCCCATTCTTCCAGAGCTCTTTGCGCTAGGGTGTCCGTCTGCGGTGGGGCTTGTAGGGCAGCCGGTGTCCCTAGTGCTCGTATGAAGGGGCTATCAGGGGGAATGGGGGATGGGAAATGCTGAATGGCCGCTACTGCACGTTGCACGTCATTTGTTTGTACATCATATGACGTGGTCGTTTTTTTGCTTATGGCAGGCTCGGAGTCGGCCCATAGTTGCTCCAGTGTGTATTCTGGTTTCGGTTCCATATACTTTCGGTTCCATACTGCATGATGGGACCATTGTGGCGCGTCACGGTTGATTTCTACTGAATCCCTTTTCATGTCATATTCTTTGAGCATATCATCTAATTCTTGCAAGCTAGCAGCTCTGTGAATACAGCATTGTCTGACAGCGCCATCGATGTGGAGTGGCCATCCCACAGGCATGTGGGAATCTTCCAGGAGTCCGTCACCATTTTGCTCTATGATTGTACCCAACATGGGGACATCAATAGTTGCTTTGAGGCTGACTTGTGCACGTTTGCACTTCCATGTGTCAGGTGCTAAGAGACCTCTGCCAGCCAACAGCTCAAGTGACTGGAATTGTGGTTGGTCAGTCGCTGGTAACACCTGTTCTTTGATGACTAACTTCAGCCCATGTAGTGGCTGGGGTTGCTCTTTCTGAGGGTCTTGAGGTTGCTGGGATGTAGTGTCCTTGGGTGTTGTGTCTTCAAACCAGGTGGGACGGACTGACTGGACTCCTATGGGACTTGCAGAACTTGTAGTTTTAATGCTTTCTCTGCGCAGGCCATGGTAGACGGGCGGGATCATCCATGCCGGCACGAATACTGTGATGAACTGCACATTCCAAATAACCTGCAAATTCTGCGGCTTGACTTCAGGCGTGATACATCTTACCTGACCATCGATCACTCTGGTGTATGATTCAGAGCGGTCGAAGGATGCTGTGACTTTCAGGCCTAGATACAGTTCTCTAAACCAGTATTCCTTGAGCATCATAAAGGAAAGGTGAGGTGCCCTCACTTCCAATACGTGCGAGGCTGGCATTAGAAGAGTTACCATCCATTCAGCTAAGAACTCAATCATTTTGACTTCGAGTTTAGGGAGGATGGCTTGAACTGCTCGTAGTGCACCCGCGATGTCCGGGACATGCCTACGTGAGGGCAATCCAACTGTTCGTTTGGCATACTCGTCAGCAAAGTAAAGTCTGCACAACTTTGAGACCCATTGGCTCGGTTTCTCCATGTCTATGGTGATCTTAGCTAAGGGCCATGGGTCTGGGAGCGTGGATAAACAATGCAACAATTCGGAGGTTAGGTCCGCTGAGATGACTGGGAGGGCTTCTCCTTGTGGGCGATAGTCAACTGCAGGTCCCACCGTGCCTTTGCTTTTTTGCGTGTGGGTGCGGGCGGCACTATATGCACGGCTTGGATGGTGGTCTCATATTGGCTGACCATGGCTCGTAAGTACTTGCATGCGCGAACAGCTGCTCTTCTTGTGCTTGGCCCATCTTCGGGCTGGTTCTTGGCAGCTACTGCGAGGATATCTCGTGCCTCTTCTTCTGGCGACCGTTTAGGTTCCGTATCTGGTGCAGGTGCATTGAGAGCGGTACCTTGGACTGGCGCCTCTTTTGCGCGTGGCAAGTGGTCTGGGATTGGCAACTTCGGGTGTAATCGCCATCCATCAAAGAAGTATATGCCGGGCAGGGACAGGATCTCCTGGTCTGGGCCCGTCTGTGCTACTATGTGCCCGGTGCGTGCTTTATACAGTCCTGAGGGTGGGCACACGTAGGTGGGAAAGTGTGTGCGATCAGCAGCGTAGGCATATAGGACAACTTCAGAGAAAGGGAGATTTTGCTCGGGGAGCCACTTGTGTTGAGTTCGTAAACCTGCTTGAACTTCTTGGAAGCGCTCCCTGTTCAGCCATCTAAGGTCTGACCCTCGCACCAATATCAGACGATATCTTGCTCGCTTCACTTCGTCGGCTTGCTGATCGTAGTATTGATTGGCAATTGCAAGGGGAGGGTACTCCCAGGTTGGTGCCGCATTTAGTGACCACCGGCTTAGCTGTGCTAGATTCTCTTGGACTGGGTCAGGGTCAAATTTTGGCATGCTCCATGTCGTTTCTCCTCCCCGTAGGCCCCGGATGCCATATGCAATTGCAGCAATCACCTGTGCCATGCCCATGAGCCCCATCATGTCTAGCGGGGAGACCAGCAGGGTTAACGATTTGGACCGGGTGAGTCCGACAGTGATTCTGCCAAGGCAGTCTTCAGTATCTTCTGTAGGGGAGCCATTGGAGTAGTATTTAGTGTTGAGAAATCCAATACTGGGCTGAGCTACGATTGATACCTGCGCTGTTCCTCCTGCCGAATTGGCTATTGTTTCGACACGCAGGGTGCGAACATAATCCCTTTTGAGCACGGAGCGGTTCAAATTGTTCTTATGATCAGTTGCTGTGGTCATTATGAAAA